GAACCGGGGCCATCCAATTTGCACGAATGGGATTTTTCTTGAACGTGACGCACCCCCTCTCCCGTCCCAACCCTCTCTCCTTCCTTCCTTCCTTCCTTCCGCAGTGTACAGCCCCGTTTCGCCCGTTTCCGCGATTCTTTTGTCACGAAAAAATTGAATTCGAGCTGCAGAGACGTACACCCAACCCACCCCTTTTCCCATTCTCGCTCGCCCTTTTCTCTCTCCCTCTCTTTCTTTCTCCGTCCACCATTTCCATCCGCCGTCCGCGCCCTCCCGCGTCGTGTCCCCGTCCTTTCTCAACGGCGCTCGCCGTTCAGTTTTTCGGGTTAGCTACAGCTCCATTGTCCGCCAGTTTTTGCACATGCCAACGGCAGAGGTTACACACCCTCCAACCCCCCGTTCTCTCTCCTCCTTTCCCCACCACTCCCTCTTTTGGACGGTGTCGGCCGCCCGATAGACCCGGCTCAAAGGACCAAACTGCGAATCTGTCGATAGAAAGAATAGCCTGGCTCGTAATCAGCGCACGGTCCGTTGCATTCCACGCGCGCCCCTATAAAAATGCAATCTCGTCCTTCTCCCCCCACCCCCTACCAAGCAGCCTCCAACTATCCCTCGAATGCTACGACCGATCGAGCCACCCCTCCCCCGCGCAGCTTTCTCCTTCGCGATAGGTATTTGCCGAGTAACGTTTGCGTTTTCATTACGGTTACGGGTGCTGGACAAGTGGCGGTGATGATACGAGGGAGGGAAGGCTCGTTCTTCCTGTTCTTTCTTCCCATCCTCGTGGCCGGTTTCCTCGTGGCCCGATGGAATATCGACACGCAGGGACGGCCGAGGAATCCGAACGTTCGTTGAATGTTTCCGATGGAACAAGGGTGGGGATACGTACTTTCATTCGAGTAACTCGATTGGGTAATTTGGAGCGCATTAAAATGGAGAGGTATTTGGCTTTTTTTTTTTGAGTTTTAATATATACTCTTTTTCTTTCTTCTCTCGCGATACACAAACGATATATTTATTTCTTTCCTCGTTATTTGTCTATCCATCTTCTCTCCTTTTTTATTGTTCATTTACGTGGCTTATGGTTAACGATGATGCACGAAAGCGAGCGTTTCCTACGATTCGTTTAATGTAAACGTAGTTATCTTTATGGATCGTATTCGCTTTTAACGATAAGTTAAACGATAAGTTAACCGATGAAAAAGAATTGTAAAAAAAGTTGAAAAGAGGGGGAATTATGTTCGCCTCGATATTCTCTATTTTTTTGCAACCGGGATCAACGAAACTCGTCGACACGGACGGTCTTAATTGGAGCTAATCGACGGGCCACCTTTTTCACGCCGCTTGATGGCTTTTTTTTTTGTACGGTTCACCGAGGATCAATGAGGTTGAACGAAACGAAAAAAATCATCCAATCCCTTCGTCTAATAATCGACGAAGAATCGTGAAAAACCGGTCTACGATAAAATTTTTTTTCCATAATTTGAGAAACGTGTTTTTTCTTTTCTTTTCTTTTTTTTTTTTTTCTTAATAATAGTGAAGGTTACTATGTTACAGTTTAAGCCGCGATTAAACGAGGATCGATACTTTAACGAGCAATTTGTTATCTTTTACGGTCACAAAGACTGGCACTGTACGGGAGATAATTTCTTATCGTGGAGATAGCGTTATGTATGGTTAATTCCTCTTTTGAACACGTGCTTCCAATGTGTCTACATAATTCTATTAGAAAAATTCGAATATGCTATCGATAGACTACCGGTATAAATTTTAATTTATCGCGATTCCATTTCTTGATCTCGAACTGAACAGCATTTGCTGAAGAGAATTTGTCCGAAAATTGTATTCGATCGAGGAGAATATCTTGAAATACGTGCATTTCAACGTTGAGATTTCAAGTATCGCTTTTTTTTATATTTCATATCTCGTATAATTTGCAGTCAGTCACTCGTGCAAACTCGTGTATACGATAAAAATAATACACACATCACCGATTCTCTGGGAAAGATTAAACTGAATTTGTAAATCTTGAGAATGATACTCGAGGAAAAGAAAAAAAAGGAAAAGCTAAAAATCCAAAAGATAAGAGGATCGAACTTTTAGGAAAAATTTTCAAAGGAACACGTAACGATCGAAGAGGCGAGTTGTTCGCGAAATTAAAAGAAAGAAGAAGGGAAAAAAGTAAAAATGGGAAGTAGAAAACGGAGTACGCGTGGATGGAGCAGATGGAACGAAGCTGGAAAGGGAAAAGGGGAACAAAAAAGAGGCACTGTCCCACGGCAGCCCAGTTGTCGGCCGGACCAAACAAACAATCTTTATCTCCTTTATGGTCGTCCTTATCTCCGCCAACCGACTCTTCTCTTCGGCTTTCCCGTGGCAGGTTCTGCCTTTTTCTCGCCCCACGTACGTGAACAGATCCTTTGTGTTCCCCGCATACTTTCTCACCGTGTTCGACCAGAGGGGAACGAGGGAGAGAAAAAAAAAAGAAAAGAAAAGGAAGAAGGTTAAAGAAATAAGAAACTCAGAGGGAGGCAACGGAACGGAAGAAAGAAGAGACCTTCGAAAGAGAAGAAGAAGAAGAAGAAGAAGATCGTCCAATGAATCGTCTAGCTCCACGAAAATTTGAATAAATCTCGCTCTGAATATCATTTCGCCGCTTTCCAACAAACTATCCGCCCTTGTTGAAACTGAAAATGCCGGTAGACTTTACTTTCAATGAACCGCGAAGCTCTTCCACCTCTCTCTTCTTTCCACCCCATTTTAACGTTCGCGGTAATAAAGTTTGCCGGCAAACGTTTTATTATGAGTCATTCGTGGGAACCTTTGACATTAAGCCTTATGACGCGAGAGACTTGCGTGTCGCGGCGCTTCATCGATCCACAATTCGTGAGACCTTATTTTATTTATTTATTTATTTATTTTTTTTTTTTTCTGTTAAAATAAAACCCTTTTACCTAAGAATCGTTCGAGATAGTCGCGAAATTATCGCGCGAAACGATACGGTAAATTGCAATTATCTTTGATTATTTAATTCGCAGAAAAGAAAATATCCAAAAGATCGTTAAAAAGACGCGAGTCGAATTTGAAATCAAAGAAAATTTACGAAATTATTTTTTTAAACATTCATAAGAGTTCTCATTTTTCAAACGTTCTTTTTAAAATTTCCATTATTCCTGAAGAAATTGGAATAAATGTTTGTGGATCTCGAAGAAAATGTCGACAGACGGGGAATCGCGGAAGATGGTTCTATGGATGAAAAATCGCGCATGCGAAGGAGACACATGACGCTTTGTGCGCGATCTCTTTGCTTTCCCATCATCCTCCGTGTTTTCGATACCACCACCTGTTACGTAAACACGAGCAGCACGGAGACACGGCCAATTGATTTACGTCGTAATGGACTACGAGGACGAGTCGCGGCCTTCCGAGAGAGAGAGAGAGAGAGAGACAAAACTCTTTCTACCTGGCAACCGTTCAGCGAATCATCGACTCAAGAGTCGACTTCCGTCTATCTACATTGTGCGCTCGATTATCTCCCACGTATTTCGATCCCACCGACTTTTCTTCCTTCCATCTTCAATTTCTTCCCCCCTTTACAATTTCCTTATAATTTATCCTTAAAAAAAAAAAAAATAGTTTCAGGAAGAATCTTGCCAAACTCTTAAATCCATACTCGAATTCCTCGAATAAGATAGAAATAAGATCGAATTCTACCGTGTCGATCTCTCTCGTTCCCATTTATCGAGTCCGACAAGCCAACAAAGAAGAAAGGAAAAAGTAAAAATCGTATAAGAAAATGTTATCGGCGATTTAAATCGTAGCAGGACGAACACGTTGAACCGCGACAAGATCCCTACGAATTCAACAACAGCGACAACAGGACCAACGGTTGGGCGCAAAAGTTTACTTTATATTCGAGCGTATATATGTAAATGAGAAACGATCGTTCAGAACCGGCGCGGCGGTTGTAACGTCGCGGCACGAACCGATCGTGGGTGCACGTGTAAAATCGAGCAAGAAAGCACGCGTCCTGTTCTCGTGTTTCTTTCCTAGGAGGGTTCCTTCCTCCTTCCAGCCCCCATGCGGCGCTGTCACGCGATAAACCATGCCCCGATCCCGGTTTACCGATTACCGAGGACCGCCGCCGGACCGAAGCGAACGTTCCTCGAGAATGCGAATCGACATCGATGGACGGAGCGGACCGTTATCGAGGTACGCCGAAGAGAGCAAAAGGCTTGGCGAGGAGCGAAAATCCATTAAAGAAACGCTCGAGATTCGAGTGTCGTTGGAAGAGATAGGCCAGCTGACGCGTGTTAGATTCCTCCGCGGATTGCAATTCGTTAAATCGATCGTGGATGGATATTAGACCCCTGTCCGGTTATTTGGTAAGTATTACGGATTCTATCGAACGATCCAACGATCGAAGTGGATTTTCTATTTCCTTCGCGCGACATTCTGCAACGACCAGATGGGCCAGAGATGGACGATCTTAGGACGCGGGAAAATGAAGAATAATACGCGGTTAAATACGTGTATCGGTCACGAAGAAGAGATCGGGGAAGAATAAAAGAGAGCGTTGGAAGAATATTTTTTTCACGCGAGGATATATTTAGTATTCGCTTTCGTTCCACTCGTGCATGCGTTGTTCGAGAAGAACGGGATCCGTCGCTCGATTAATTATTAACCTTAAGATTAATTTTATGCGCGTTTCATTCGTCTATCCCGCGTATAATTTTGACAAATTAAAAGGTAAATCGCGGAAGCCGATTACACATCGAATTATTAATCGAGACTCTCGGGGTTAAACCCGATTATTCTCGCGTTCCATCGCGGTACGCTCGGCTTAATTTCTAAAAGCTTCGATTAATAACACGTGCTTGATCCGCTTCGAATTCTCGCGGATTTATACTCGAGAGTCGGGGTGAAAAAACGGCGCTCGAAGAACGGAAGAGAATAAGACGAATCAAGCGAGAAAAAGAAGGAAAATGGGATACGCTCACCGTTAAGATGCACTTGTGGCTCGGGGAGATGTACTCGAGTCCCCTGTGCCCCTCGCCGCTGAAGCACTTCTGTATATTGGTCATGAACTTTCTTCGGATGGCCTTCAACGAGTACACGCACAACGCCGAATGATTCTTGGGTACGTCGCTGCTGGTGCTGTTGCTCTCTGAAAAAACGGCGAACAGCACGTCGTCCTGGGCGGTGATCCCCAAATCCCCCGCGAGAACCGAGCCGGCCTTGCCCACGTAAGCCGCCTGCACCAGGTTGTAATACGTGCCGTCGTTGGTGCAGTTGATCGGTATCTCGGTGTACGAATAGTAATGCTCGTCGTCGTGGCAGACCCGCACCAACTTGGATATGAACACAGCCGTATCTGTGTTCTTCATCTGCGTGGTCATGAAATAGCTGAAACCGCCGCTGCTGAACCCGTACACGTAGTTGATAGGGTATCTCTCGCGCGACAACGAGTTCACGTACATCCTGGTCCCGGTCGTGACGGCGGCCTCGGCGATGTTGAGCATCCTGTCCTTGTCGAGCGACCTCGAGCTGACCGCGGGCACCTCGGATCGGTAGGGCGAGTTGCCGGTGAACGTGACGCCCACGTACATCACCTGGGAGACGGGGGGGTTGGGCGGGCCGGGGGCTATGAACGCGACCGTGGACGCCGTCGCGTTGTTCGCAACCACGGCCTCCTTCACCTCCTGCACCACGTCCGAGATGTTGTGAAGATTTCGCACCCTGCACGTGCCCTGGGAGAGGCTGCCGCACGAGATCAGCCTGGTGGTCGTGTAGTCGATCACCAACGCTTTGTTCACGTTGTCGACGAGCCGCGTCGGGGTCTCCCTGGGACAGTCGATCATCGAGCAGGCGTTCGAGTCCCCCTTCGGCCCGGTCACCTCCTTCACGACCACGCTCAGGTCGGGCGAGAGCTGATAGAGCCTGTTCACCGCCCCCACGTAAACCCGCCCCGTGTTCTTGTCCACCACCAAGTGGTTCATCCTCTTCACCTCCGGGTCGTGGAACCTTTGCACTATGTCCGCGGGCGTCGAGCGGACGGGGAGTCGGGGCGACAGCAGCACCAGGAACGAGAGGAGAAGGCGAAGCTGCTGTTGATGCGACACCGTCCATCCCATCCTCCTCGCCGATCCCTCGCCGCTACTCCTCCTCCCCGGGAAGACTACCATCTTTTATCTATCCTATTTCTACTCTTCTCTACCTCCGACTACTTCGAGATCTCCCTCGCTGCGCCCGAGAATCCTCGACGAGCCTCGCCCACACCTGGACACAAACCAAACGAGAAACGGTTAATCGTATCCACTTTTCTCCATCCCCCTTTATTACGAAACTTGTATCGTAACATTTCCATCTCGTCAAGGGGAGATGGAGCTCTCGCCAAATTCACACCGCGTGGAAAACAAGGGCGAAACGCCTCGTCCTATTGCACTCCTGTTTCGCTCGAACTCCGGACTCGGAGCGCGTTCGTCTCGTAAGATAATTATTCATAAGATAAGATTATAAGAGCTTAGCAACCTATTTACGAAGCGATATTCTAAAAAAAATAAACATAAATAAATATTTTCGCCGTTCGAGTCACCGCTGGAGCATTAATTTAAGTGATGACCGAGAGTCATCGTTGAGCAAAGGGTTAATTTCGATCGGATGGAGATCCCTTTCGAAATTTCTCTCCCGTTTACGCGCTTGAGACGCGGATCGACTGTGCGTTTCCCAGACACGGAGGAAGCGTTCAGTTGGCCGGGTTTAAAACGATCGAGTCGTAAACGCGGATGGAAAACGCAGATGGCGGACGGATCGTGCAAAGTGTATAAAGACGTGTTTTAACGAGGGACGGCGTTGAATCAAAGGCAGGCGTACTACCACCCATTTTCGCGGACGTTTAGCGTGACTATACGCCTGTTTTACATTAATCGCGAGTTAACGCCGGATCAACGACACCTGGGACACGGCACACCTCGCCGACGAGGAAATAATTATCTCCTCGTTCGAGCACGCGAATTCCGTTTACGAATCGCGTTTGTAAATAATCGAAAAAATAAACCCAAGAATTATTTATTAATTTCTGATGCAAAGGATCCATTCGCAGCCATTCGTCCATTTTGGTAAATATATACTTGGAGAGATATATTTAAGCGTCTGACACGCGATAATTCCGTGTATTTGTTCTGGACAGTCCAAGTGGAAACTTATCGAACCGATCAGTTTGTGCGTAAAGAGAGATTAGCTGTACTGAGGTTTATTTAAGAAGGAATCCAGACTCGATAATATTATCGTATCTACAACGATTTATTCGGTGTTTATCTTTTATCTATCGCGATAATACGAAAATACGTATATTTATCCGCGATAATTATATCGCGGAAAAGTTGCTCGACAACTTTCTAAAAAGAAGCGAGGGAAGAAAAGGACAAAGGGAGGTGAGAACGTTGAGCGTGCGAAATTGCGGAGAGAAAGAGGACGAAAATCGAAGGGGAGAGTCCCTGGCAATTTATCGACTAGGGAAACGAGCCTCTGCCTTTGAATCCGGAACCCCAAACGCGCACTCCCTCTTAACGAAATGAAACGCTTGACTTTGCGCAGGAAATACGAATGAAGAAAAAGGGAGAGAGAGAGAGATAAGAAAAAGAGAGGAAAAATTTGTACGGCGAGGGAAAGAGCGGATGCGGAAGAAAAAGGTGTTCCTCGTCTCCTTCTTATCGCGACGGAGGGTAACGTTCAATCGCAACAAAAACTTTCCTTATTTTCCGAACACCCATTCCCGGGAAGGGACCCTGTCGAGGCCTCCCTTCTGCAACACGTCGATTCCACTTTATGGGTGGAACTGTACCGAAGAAGAAACCCTCCTCCCCTTTCACTCGCAATGTTTTCCTCGTAATTGTAATTGACGACCGTTCCCGCGATGATTCGATCGAGAAAGATAAGAAAATTTTGGAAATTCCCTTTTCGGGAAAATGGATCGCGAGGAATATGACATCGAGATATGGACGATATTATTCGCCTTGGAGATAAAAAAAATTATCGAGGGGAAAGGTGAGTCATTGATTGGTGACGAATCTAATCGTTGTTACGTTGAAAAGTTGAATCGCATTCCACGAGTATGACGTTCCTATTATCGAAGCAAGAACGATGTCTCGGTTTGGAAATACATCGGACTCGAATATAACACCTTTGCTCTAAAATTAACGCTAACGTGCCAATCGATACGGCAAATCGACATCGCGATACTGTAACCGAACACGAGCACGAGAAACTAGAATTTCCGTTCCTTCGAAAGTAGATCGATCTTTCCTTTCTTTGATCCCTCGAGATCCAAAAGCAAATACAAAATTGGAGGTGAAAGTTTGGAGGCGAAAGTTGGACGTGATTCGCAGTGGTGACAATGAAGTATTAAGTAACGCCGGATAAAATTAGGAATGACGATGTAGCAGTGACGAAGAGCAAACATCCCCACTCGATCTCGCCTTACTTAACTTACGAATAATTCCTCGACGCGGAAAGAGAAAGAAAAAAAAATCTTCGCCGAATCTATATTTTTTGAAATGCGCAAAAATCCTCCTCTCCTCCTCCACCTTCTCTATCCATCCAAACAAAACGACTTCGAAAGCGATTCCCCGTGGCGTGAGATTTAAACACGCCATAGGAACGCGGTAAACGATCCAACGAGCTCGCACGCAGTTCTCTACCATTCTACCTCGCGCGTAACATCCTACACGGCGTCGCGTTTCGTCCTCTCGTACGTAGCTTTCGTACGTACGAGATGAAGGTAAAACGCTGTGTTGTTTCGAGCCTCGTACGTACGTAGAGAAGCACGCAACCCGATCGAGACGGGGGAATCGGTGGAAAGAGGATCGCGGCGGGTAACCGACAAGTAGATAAGCATCGGGAGATATTCAGGAACGCTTGATTCCACGTAGAAGGGGAGAGCTCGAGTCCGCGTACGAGTCGAGCAGGTATGCGTGCAACGAGAGCCGTGTGTTCCAGCTGCGCTCGTGCGCGCGCCACGAAGATCGAAGGGAAAGATGGTCGCGGTACGCGATGCTTCTCTTCTTTCCGCGCTATCTGATTCAACGCACGCGTGCCTTTCCCCGTGAATTGCCGCTTCTGCTGCGACACACGCACCTCGTATGTAGGTTAACGCTGTAATTAATAGGGATAAGCGAGATCGTCCCGTCGCCGAACCGTGGATCCCGACTTCGGCAAGGATCGGGAAATTTCGGCCGACATCGGCAGGGAACGAGATATTCGTGAGCGACGCGAAGTGGGATGGAAACGTTCGGCTGGAAACATTGGGTGGAGTCGCGAATGCGTTTGAATACTAATACGAAAATATTAATGCTACGTTTCGAGCGAGATCGCGATATTTCCGCGAGGTAGTGGGGGAAATGTACCGAGAACCACCGATCTTGCCCGAATTTTTCCGACGCAACCCCGCGTATCTTTGGTAATTAACGATCGTTTTTATCGTTCGTTTTCTTTGCGGTATTCCAACTCTTAGATGATGTAGCGATAGAAAGAACGCTGTATCTATCCACGTACCGCAGGGACCACCTCTCTGCCAGGGAAATTCAAACAAGCGTGAAACGACACTTTAATTAGCGTGTTTACCGGCAAAGAAAAGTTTCACGGATTAATCCGGAAATGAGAAATCTTAAATCTCGCTTCGCTCCGATGAGAGATGCAAAGATTCATTGTGATCTTTTATAATTTTTTATAACTCTTTACGCGATTTTAATCAATATTTCGATCGTTGTGTCGAGATTGATCGGGATTTCGATCCAGAAAGGAAGAAAAAAAACGTAACGCGGACGATTTCGCAGCGACCACGCAGGTCGATTCGTATTACGCGAAGTAATTTCTGTGCGAAAGCCTCGGGGGCAAAATGGTCGGGCGTTAATTTTAATTACAAAGTACGCGGTTTAATATGCACGTTTATTTTAATGGAAAAGCGACGGATGCTTCCGTGCGATAGCACCGATATAGCACTTCCCTACGCGGCGGCTCCCTATATCTCATCATTTCCACGGAAACACGCGAGATGCCGAGGGCTTTTGTACCCTTTTATTTACTTGGGCCGTTGTACGTATGTGCTTTTCGCCTCGTTTTACCAGTCGAGTGGGATGTTCCCCGATGGAAACATCGGTGACCCACTATCCACGGAATGCGCGCGAGAAACTTTTAAGAAGCTTTTCTCCTCCACCCTTTCAACGTTTCAAGAAGCTACGTGTATTATAGTCGGTCGGAGTTTTATAGTTGGATGTGATATATATATATATATAAAGAAGACGCGTGGAAAGATGCGGTAAAGTATCGGCAACCGGATAAAAATATCGAGTAATTGCGTATTTCTGTTGGATAGAAAGGACGTTGGACGATATTGATTCGTGATGTTTAGCTTAGATTATACTATATATATATATACGAGATTTCACGAGGATTAATGGGAATTTAAGAAAATATTTCGGAAATGTAGAGAGATGAATCATCGGTTAAATGGGTCACACGGCGAGTCATAAAGTAAGAAAGTATCGAATGAGAAAAAGAAATACGACGCAAAGGATTAAATTTAACGCGAAACGCGGTGAATAACGTCGATGTTGATCCCCCAAAGAATTCGAATCGTTCGAAATCGGATGTAGATGGAGTTGTGCGAGAGCTCGATTAAGGCCACGTGAAACGGTGGAGAGCGAGGGAAACTCGGTTCGTCGAACCTTCGTGAAATCAAGGTCGTCTCTCGAACAGATTCGAACCTGAAATCGGGCCAGAACGTTGGCTTTGATCCTTCGATTGCTCGTTAGAAGGGAATGGCATCGACACAGATGTTGCCAGGTGAAACGCGATCGCGCCAATACCTTAAGAATTTTAAACAGAGATATCGAGAGAGAGAGAGAGAGAGAATAAGAGAATGCAGCTCGATTCGAAGAATACAGTGGACGAGGAAAGGTGGAATTTAAATAGTCGGACGAGCAGGAGTAAATTACGAGGCCGGGAGTCACGTATGGGTTAAAGAAGCGACCCGTTACCGAAGCGAGAGAACCTGCCTTAAGGGGGTAAACTGCTTTTCCAAGCCGCAATTCCCCGTAACAAATGCGATCATTTGGTAAACCTCGAGTCGGGACTTTTCACTGGAATGGAGAAAAAGAATGGAGTCGAGGAGGAAGCGTGGGTGGATAACGGGGAAGGGACCGAAAGGGGAATGATTCTTTTAATGCAACTTCAACTGCCGTTACGTGCATTACGTATCGTTTTTTTCCAATCCTTTTCCT